AAGACGGCGGGAACGGTGAAGCCGGCGGGAACGGTTAAGACGGCAGGAGCTGTGATGGCGGCAGGAACGGTGATGACGGCGGGAACGGTGAAGACGGTGGGAACGGTGATGACGGCAGGAACCGTGATGACGGCGGGAACGCTGATGACGGCGGGAACGCTGATGACGGCGGGAACCGTGATGACGGCGGGAACGGTGATGACGGCGGGAACGCTGATGACGGCGGGAACGCTGATGACGGCGGGAACGGTGATGACGGCGGGAACGGTGATGACGGCAGGAAGAGTGAAGACGGCAGGAAGAGTGAAGACAGTAGGAACGGTGATGACGGCAGGCAAATCAGGTCACAGAGTATCCTGGGATGCTGTAAATGCTGTAAAATTGAGGCAATTCTGGAAGAGATTGTCGTCTAGAGCTTATACCACTGCCGGAAAGGACGCCGTGTTGAACGATGAATAATTTATTACATGCGCCACAGAGGCGATCGTTTTGATTGGTGGAGACTTATGCATACGTATATATCGTATCTGCTACCAAAACGTTAGCAAATGTAAAGAAAAACATAAGCTATGTGGGGAGCTCGCTCTAAAGGCGTTCGGGGCGTGCGGTTCGGCCTGTAGTCTTTTTTTGTGCGTTGGTTTGGTGCTCGAACTAGTCTCCTGCCGCTCCTCGCTCTTGAGCGACTATCCATTTCGCCGCGGGCGCCTTGATCAACGGCTACACAACCTGTGACCGCGAGGCGTCATTTAATTTTTTTGGGTTCGCCAATGGCAATGCTTTGGCACAGGTAAAGAATCGGCTATATAATAAAAACATGGCCTTAGTACAATCACAAGTGTTAATTTATTTTCTCACTAAGCATCACCGTTTCACTGATCACGTGTCTTTGGCCTTATATTTTGTATTCCTTACGAAAATGTCCTGCGGTAATCCTGTGGTGAAAACCACAAAAATGTGTGTTTTGGGGGACAGTACCACATGGACATTGATTCTCGCGTGGACCAAACCGTCACGTTCTCGACCGGTGATGCTCTTGCGTCATATGCCCCTTTAACCAACAGAGTCACGGTTGTGACTTACTCGAAAGAAAGAAACTTAACTCGCTATGACAAGTCTATTTGTGCGTGATTGTACTTGCTATAACAATTCCACCACTTCCATAAAGGCGCAACAACTGCGACGTGGGTTGCATTCCAAACTGCCAACGACGGCACGAAAGTGCACGCTATGTGACTGTAAGAAATGGTGCGATACAGCAAGGACTCACACATCGGCGAAAAGACGACAAAGGGGTTACGGGGAGAACAAAAATCGGTTATCACACTATCTGACAATGTTTAACCTTTGGAACGAAACAGTGTTGGAAGATTTAACCAATTCCAGTGACAGCGGACATTATTTTAACTACGCCTTGCCAAGTGGAAATGTTGTTATCGCTGTAGGCATTGTATGCACCATCCTTACTGTCATCACCAACCCGTTGTGTTTGTTCGTCATTTACCGAACGGCCAGTATCCAAACTACCACCAAGATTTTCATGACGTCTCTTACCATCTCTGACCTTGGTGTCGGGATAATTGGATTTGTCACAAACATCGTGATCGTCTTCGCAAACATTGGTCATACTGTACAGGTGGCACCTTTGGTGTTCCTGACCTTGACATTCGTCAATCAAAATCTTCTGTCCTTGTTGCTGCTGACCATTGATCGCTACATTGCCATCGTCTGTTCTTTGCACTACCCAAGCATAATGACAGTGAAGAGATCAAAAATCATCGTCATCTGCAGTTGGGTATCGGCTACACTGATATCTCTTCTCACAATCCCTTTGATTTTCGTTTTAGGAGTAATCGTACAGGTAATCGCATTTATTGCAAGCTTGAACCTGGCTGGGCTGGTTGTTATTTTGATTATGTACTTGCACATTCTGGTCATTGCTACACGCCAGTCGCATCGAGCGAACCGATTCAAGCATCCTACAGTCGGAAAAGAGATAGCACGAGGAATCAACACCAAATCGTTCACCACGATTATGATGATTGTTGCTGTCATCGTGTGCGGTTGGGCTCCTTATCTGGTGCTAACGATTATTTGGCTCTATCGGGCTAATCATAACTGGTTGCTGCGGGCTGCCCATGATTTGGCGTATTTTCTAATATTCGCCACTAAGTGGACAGACTGCATCATCTTCTGCCTTAGAAATAAGGAATGCAAAGAAACTCTGAAAAGAATGATTTTCAACTGCAAAAGCACGCAATGTGCGCAGCAAAGTGAAGCGACTGGCGTCATTCAACAAAAGCGTAAATATGGTCTACTGCAATAAGAAGGTACGAGTTCCAACGGGTCATGGGTCATTTTCCCTGCAATCCTTTTCAATCTAAGCAGTAGCAAATACCAGCACCACTGCTTGGCATTGTTGTTATTCACTGGGATACAGAAATATGCCCTTGGAAACATGTCTGAAATACATCATCCATTGACAATTGATACCAATTGTCCAGGCAACCAGATAACAATGGGAAAGTTCCACTGAGCTATGTACAAAAACAACGGTCATTATCAGGGTTTTGCCGTGAACTAGGGATAACAAACTTGCCACTGAACTTATATCTTGGATGCGTTTCTCTACTAATTTATTACTGGACTGCTTGAATTAAAATGGTACGTAAAAACCGTTTCAAGATAGCTTGGCCTGGGCATCTAAAGGCAGGACACGGACCCATCTAGTCCACACAACGCGCTACCAGGAATCGCTTGGGATGGCCTCCCCTGGTTCTCGATTTGACACCTTGTGAAGGCTGAGTTATCCAATAGGCATGACAGGGCCTACGGAAATCTCGGGATTAAGGAAAAAAGAGGACCAACGAAACCACAGTGCCCCTTATTTAAAACGCACACATATTCTTGTAGCATATCCAAATACGCACTACTGGGAAAGCTCCAACCCAACTGGCAAATTACAACATTATCAACAGCATAGGAAACACGAAGTTTCAGTGTTCACAATGTAATGAAATTGGTGCTGCCGATGTTTTATTATACAGTAACAGCTGATAAAGGGTGGTTTAGAAAACGATGGAGATAAAACCAGACGGTGCAAATTTTGCCAGGTGTAAACTATCCGTGCGTCATTAGCGGCGAAATTATCAACAGGACCCGTATTTCATATCTATCCTTATAAGCTACAGGCTTTGATATGCCACAGGAAACATGGTTGATAATCATGCTGGATTAGGTTGCTAATTAACTGACTGAAGGAACTGAGGAGACCCAGTCATTTGAGACAACCTACACAGTTGATGCTTTCTAATAAAAAAAGGGAATTACATGTAAATGTCCTTTCGTGTGGAAAAAGAAACGGCAGACAGTAACTTTTCCGGGGGAAAAACAAAGGAAATAAGTCTTTGTGAAAAAAAAAGAAACTACATAATAACTTTCAACGTTAAATGAAAGGCATACCTGCTGCCTCTTGCAATGGAAGTACACTGAACATTTCAATTTGAAATTAAGCACTTTATTTAAAAAATAAATTACACGAAATCTTAATCAGTATTCCATTTTGGCACTTACATTTTTGATCCACACATATTTACACAGACAAAAAACTTACTACTTGTAGAAACTGAAGCTCATTATTAGGTGCTTTTTCATCATATTTCACGAGTGTTTGAAACAAAGCACCTTCAAGTTGCTCGGCTTACTGAGTTATATGTTTGTATTCTGGCAACAGTCTGAGATTTTCCTCACACTACGGGGGGCTTATGTCCTATCAGTCACATCATATCTAACATCGATAAAAAACATGGTCAATTGTTACCGTGTATATTGTTGTGCATAATGAAAATGAAATTCAAATTCAATTCACAAGTTGACAAATGCCGAAAAATGCTTTTCCTTTTGCTTATCCATTACATGTACCTTGTCATGAAGAGTTTACCTTTGAATTTAATTCGGCGTCTCATCGATCACTTCTTCATCTGGTATATAATCCGATAATTCTGATACCATTAGTTTTTTTTCAAGTCATCACAGATGATGTAAAGTCTAGATAAATTAAACAGATTGTCTTTGTTGTGAGACTATTTTGAAAACTTTTATTTTATTTTCAATTGCCATATTAGTTTCCTTGGTTTGAACTGCATGCAAATCATGAGTGGTTGACCAGTTGTATGACGATATATTTCTCAATGAGCAAATTTCATATGGCTTCTCACAAGCCCGGTCGCAGGCCTCTGCGTGTAATACACTGAAATCAAATGTTTTGAGCTTTGTGGGGTTTTTATGTTGAAAGGCCAAACAATGTCTTTATAGTGCAGTTTTTGTAAATGCTCTTTTTGTGTCCAATTTAGCTTGATTTTAAAGCATTGTGTTCTTAAGCATGTTAATGGCAAACTTGCATATTTGTGAGGAAATGTGTGAGTGATGGCATCTGAGGTAGATACTTCAGTGTTAACTACACTTTATCAGAACTTGAAGTATTATGCTGTTGTAAATTTTGTACATTGGTGGCGGCTATTGTTGTTTGAGTTCATGAACAGCAGGCCAGGCGGCAAAACTTTCTACAAATATTTTCAACGAGAGAGCCTTGGGTTCACAATTTGAAAAGAGAGCCCCCAAAATGAACACGGTCTCCCTGTAATAACAACAAGGCCACAGCACCCTCCTGTACAAAATGAAGATGAAAATAACATGCCAGGGTGATTTATGACAGAACCATGCTAAAAAAATGGGCTGGCATAGTTATCTGCCCCGAGCTGAAGTGCACCCCCAATCGGCAAAAGAGAGACAGGTGGTTACAAGCGGATTCTTGCATGCGTTCTGTGTGTGTACGAAAAAAATCATTCATGCCGGAATAAATTAGTTACATGTACTCAGCGTGCTCCACGTCAAACTCGCATATACCTGCATGCCTCATGGCGCACGAATGCGGTGAGTACAAAAAAAAAAACACGCCCTCTTTTGTTCCGCCCAGAGAAAATAACATAGTTAAGACAACAATGTGACCAGCCCTTGTTTCAACTCCTTTATGATAATTTTCTACTGAGGTGTATTATATTACAACCATGACGGACACAGATTTTTTTCCTTAGATCTATAAATACAGATTGATCAAAGCTTGCTAAGCGTCAGGTCGGTCTCTTTCTTGTCAGTCAGCCGTTGATTGTCCAGACTCCATAATGCCACAAGATGGCTGTGGTCATCAGTAGCTTCAAGTGAATCTAGCTTAGTCACATCTACAACCAAACACAAAAAGAATTCAACTGAATAAACACCTTTATCAAGTGTGATCAAGGCAACAAAATCAAATAAGTGATGTGAGTTGATGCTTGATATTTAGGAAAAGACAGTCTCAACCCTGTTGTGGTTGAGTCCATCATCACAGGTCCCTGTAAGTCTTTAACAAGTCATCCAGTATTAAGCCGAGCCAAAACTTATTCGAATGAAGGGTGACAGAAGCATTCCTTTGTTATTGCTATTTATGCTTGTTTATTTATGACTAGCCTTGTGACTAGATTTGTAAAGGGGCTTGTAATAGCAGACTCGACTACAACACAGGAGTCAACAACTCTATCCTCCGACAGTGAAAAAAAATGTAGTGAAAAATGTGACACAAAGCAGGAGGGGTCAGAGAATGCAGAGTTTGTACATGTTAAGTCCAGAGTAACACGGGAAAGAATGTTGCAACCTACCTCCATTTTTTCCATCAGTTGCAGTTCAGCCTAGAATTATTCAAACCCTTTGTAAAATGCGGCAGTTTATTATATTAAGCATTTCAACTGGACTGATGGTAAACCCAGGCACACAAAAACTTGTAGTTCCTTTGCAAAAGCTGATCTGGGCAAAAATATAAACTTTTGGTTGTCAATTCTACGTTGCCTGAATTTGGAATGGATATGGATAATTTTGGGCTTAAATGCATGACCTCAGTGATGGTTGGTTACAGTAGTCAGTCAGTCAGTCTAGCGCTGAAAACTCAACTTTTCTTAGAAGATACTTCCAAAATGCATTGAACTCTCCATAAACTTAGTACAAAACAACAAAGTGGAGTTAAGTTGCAGCATTATTCCCATTAAATTGTCTGTTAATTTGCTTACCATCTGTCTGTAGATATTTATTCAAGGCAGGGCCAATGACAGTCCATGGAATGCTGAAGTTGACGTGTGGAAATGATGCCCCTGAATCCATATCTCTGCAGAAGAAATTGAAGGTTATTTCCCTTTTTGTAGCACATGTACGTGTAATCTTTTCTGACAAACATGCATGTCCACGTGAATTTGAAACACTCAAGCACTGGCAAGTATGGGTGTGTTGAAGTAGCTTCCCTTGGTGGACCTGGCATTCAACCTTGTCCCCACAGTCTCACTAGTTAGGTCTCATAACATACATGGCAGTCCCAGGCCAGGATTACCCATTGGAAGCTGCTCAAACACATCTGCAAGTGCCTGAGTTAAAGGAAATATACCATCTCAAAACAAACGGATACCAATTCTCAAACAATCGTACACGTACATAACTATATATGAACTTAGACTTAAATGAAGTAACAACACTAATGGGTTAAGGCTGTAAAATCATAGAGCTACAATGAATTATTCCAGTGCCGCATGGAACTCCTGAATTCCCTTTGCAGAGAAACTTTAAAGGAACAAGGAAATAGAAATACTTCTATAAATTTTACTAAAAACCCTTGAAACTGCATCTTTGGGATTCAATTTATCTGATTCTAAATTTTTGCTTTGCAATTTTAACCCATATTATGAGGCTTTTTTGTTTTATTCTAATGAGATTTGCATATTCATGAGCAGAACTATGATGTCATCCAAGGCACTGAATTGCAATGTTGCACTGATTTGTGCACAGGAAATTTCTTGATTTTTTAAACCACTCCTATGGCAGATTTGATTTTCTTTGACAATTTATTGCTGTGTAAGTATATGGCAATAATCCAGTAAAAATCCTTTTCACAGAAATGTTCCCAGATTTGGAATTTGGGATTCACAATTTGAACATGAAAACATGCAGCCTGAACCATGTCTTCCTAGATTTACATCAAAGCAAAAGCGCCTCCACTTGTCCACAAATGCTTGGTCAATTTTTAATGTTTGAAAAAATGCACCGTTCAGTTCATCTAACTCAAAAAAGATGTCAAGCATTCTTCATAAATGGAAGTAGAGTTCAGAGATACACAAAAAGTGATTCTTAGAAGAATTAATTTTCTGGTTCCTTTAACATCATCCTAATTGTAGACATCTTGAATCCATGAGCCTAATTACAGTACATAATGATATAACATGGAATGAATTCCCAAATGAACTGTAACTTTTAACTGTACATGTATATACACAGGCATTTGTGTTGCACACTGAGCAAAAGGAAACACCCATTTACCGATTGAGCATTTACTTTTTGAGTGTACATGTATCTGCTTTGATGACAATGCATCATTTGAGAATATAAGCTGAGTTCGGGCGGATTGTTCTCATATGTTCAGGAACAGTTTGTGGATTGGCCGCTCGAACGCTGGGAACCGTTATCGCTACTAGTTACTTGTAGCATGCAAGCAACATGCAAACATGGCGGTGTCCTTGTACATTCTTTGAGAGTTAATGTTTGAGCTTACATCTTTTCCATTTATCTGTTATCAAAAATTATTGATGTTAATTGTGCAAAATTTTCCATTGTCTCCAGTTTTGTAAGCCGTCTCCATAGTTTTTCCAGCTTTTCAAAAATCAAATCTTACCAGTTTTCCTGTGTGTTCGTGTACAACCCTGACGAGAAGGTGGTGTGTGAACCTGTTCCGAGAACGTTCGAGTGCGAGAACGCGAAACCCGCGTCAAAAACAGGCCGCCCAAACTCGACCATAGATGCAACCAGTTAGACAAAAGCCTCGCATTTTCTATAGGTTTGTGTACAAACTTGGATGCACTCAGCAGGCTTTACTTTGCCCAGCAAGTATATGATAATGCATTGCCCTAGTAATATCTTATAGCTCTATGGTACATACATCAATTCAGAATTACGTGCACATGGATGCAGAAATACATGTATTGATGGTCGAAACAAGAATTTAATAGCTTCACCATATCAGGATTATATTGTAATTGTTGCTAAGTTGAACTTGTCACATTTTAAGCCAAATTTGATCCCTGCAGTGATTCTTGAGATGAATAATGTATTGCAGTTTAATTTTTTATTTTCTTTAGTACACTACAGACTGGTGAAACAAGTAAAAAGGAATCACACTGAGAAAAATGCAAGCAGATATTAAAACACACAATATCAAAATAACAAAAGTAAAATGAACAAAACAAAAGAATACAGCAGAATGGAGGAAGAGGTGATCAGTAACTCTGCAAGGCTCTCCTTATTTCCACATAGGTAACATTAAAATTCTGAGCCCTTTAATTACAAGAATGTAAAATTACATGAACTGATAGGAATCGTGACAAATAGACAAACAGTATGCCAAACCCGATTTCACACCACATTTGGAAAAACAAAGTGCTCAGTGATACTCGATCCTGGATGAAAAATCAATGCACATGCATCATTAGATAGCAAAAGGTTTTTTTCATTTATAATATGATAAAAAGCTTTTTGCTTGTGAAATATAGAGTTCTGTCATATGAATTCAGTTCAGAAGACATTTTGAACTTTCCAATAAACCTATACAAATTGCAATATAAAGTACAATAGAGTGATATGTGAGCCCCCAAAATTAAAGTTAAATAGACTCACCCTCTAATTCGATGGTCCATGTTTGAGAAATCCTACCCCTAATGACATCAGGGCAGTGCAGACTGGTTTATCTATATTCATGTATAAAAGATTTCTTCTCTCCCAGTATGTAACAAAGCCTTCTCTCATTTGCTATTTGTTTCCTTTCAATATTTAATATTTAGTTTCTGCTTCCTTTTCATTGTCATCTCTGTGTATTGTCCTTGTTAATGGTCCTCATTTCTGGCATCAGCTTGATGTACGACATAATTACACAATGCTGTGTTTGTCTAAGTGTTGTTTGTGTGTTTCTAATTTGGTTTTGGGGGTGTATTTTGCAAGTTATTTAGCAGTACAGTCTGTGCAGGTTATCCCATCTACAACTACAAGCCTTGGTTAATGTGAACATCCGTCCTATTCCACATGTATTACTATTTTTATTCCCCTTTCGACTTATTACCCAATGCATTATTTTGTCACTGGTGTTACATTTTTTTTTCTGAAATATCACAGTTTTGTACTCTGTCTTGTTCCACTTGCTATTGGTTTACTAAAAAGAAGTCAAAATAAAGGTCCACTGAATTGAACTGAACTCTGGAAAACAGGATTCCTTTTTCTGAAACACCCTGTGACAGACAAATAGTGGCTTGTGCATGGTGCAAATCCAGGATTTGCCATTGTTTTTTTCACCTCTCCCCATGGAGGACCCCTTTATGTCTACAGTATATCGCAACCTAAAACCTTTTTTCATTGAGGGTCATATTGCATAACAGAAACATAAAGTTTCTGTCGTGTAAGATTACCAAGAGTCGGCAGTGCAAACATTAATAAGGGGGGGGGAAATAAAATGAACTTGATTCGTCTTAAACATACAGAATTGGCTGCATTAAACAGACATGGCATACAAACGTGAATGAAATTCTATAGGGCTGCCAGGCACCAGACTATTTCATATTAACAACATGCTTGATGATCCTGTTCTACGGTAGGACAACAGGTAGCTACGGGGGCGCACTGCTTAATAACATGGAAACGAGGTTAAAACGATACCTTGCATTACTGGTAACTATACCCAGCAGCTGTCCAGTCCTGTGACAGAAGAGGGCACCCCCACTTGCCCCAGCATGCACTGCACAAGTTGACTGCAACAAAATGTCCATGATAACATCTCTAAATGCCTATGCAAACCAAATTGACAAGAGCTGGGACAAGATCAAGAGCTCTCAAAAATGGAACTATGCAGAGGTTTACGAATGACCTGAAACATAATGATGTCAAGCATTTTCTACATGTGTGCTTTCCTGTGAGGCTTGATGGATTGTGTCCCATCTCACTGCCATAGGAAAGCACACATGCAAACAAATATCACATTATGTTTCAGGTCTGTTTGAATATTTGGTAAGATAATGTAGAGTAGCCAATAATTGATTTAAAAAATTGATGTAAAAAAATTAAGGTTTGGCGCACCTTTTTTGAAACTATGGATATATAACATACTCAACAGGGTAATTCTACAAATTAGGGGTCCATTTTTTTCGTGTCACTGTCACATCAGAAGTTTGATTTTGTAAGTTCAGAACATATCTTCTAATTTCCAAGAGTAATGAATTAATGTAAATTACCAGTACCTGCCAAACCAATAAAATAGTTTGAAATCAGTTCCGGTGATATCTCCACGTCAAAAAATAAAGGCAAGATGTAACAGGGCCACAAGAATGTCACATTTGGACCCTATTTTCTGGAAGTACCCATTAGCAAAGATGAACATTTTTGGTGAAACTAAATCAGTATCTGAACTTGTGTGTCACGCATGGAACTATGCTCAAGAACTGTGGACGGTGCAGTGTGATCCCTTCATGAGAGCTCCAGTGAAAGAAATATGTTTCATATAGGATGCATTTATCTCAAAGGGCCCATTGTAATGTAGTTCTTATTAACAAACCTTGTCTCACATAATATGACTTTCAATTTTAATTTGAAGGGCATTCTGGTACATGTACTTTTTATTTTTACGCTGCCAATTTCCATATTTATGAGCAAAAATGAGCACTTATCCGAGGCAGAAACCTCAGTGCAACAGTTTAACTTCTGCACTAAAATTTGACGGAGCTTTAGATATACATGTATTTTTCTTCGGTAAATTTTGTTTACCTGAGTAATTCCTTGTTAATGATAGTACAGTACATGTAGGTCAGTGCCCAGTTCCCCCCCCCCCATTTTTTTCACTGAAATAGGGTTGGCGTTCACAATTTAAACTGAATCACTCCCAAAGGCATACCTGCCAACCTGTCGTACTCCTTCCTGAGGTCAGGCATCACCGCATAAAAGATTAGAATTTTAAATGAACTGAGGGCTCATTTAAATACCTTTTAATGTATTGTGTGGTACTGCCTGACCTCAGGAAGGAGTATGATAGGTTGGCATGTCTGCAAAAGGCTGAGTGTCTTCCCATAATTGCATCACATCAAAAGCACCCTCATTTGTCACGAAAAGCAGGGAAAAGTTTACCTTACTTAAAAAGTGCACTTAGTCATGGACCATAATCAAAGACAGATGTTGGATGGTGTCCTTGCATTTGAGAGATGGAGAAAAATGTAAAAAACTTGTTTCCAAGTAAAAGTTTTTTGGTGTGTAGGTTTAGCTTTCATTGGAATGAGTACAAGTCCACAATGATTGTCAGCTTAACAGCAGCTGAAATGTACCTAAAAAAACGCACACCAAGAATAACATATTGCCAAGTGTAGAACATTAACGTACGCTGGTAATATGCTGTAGATAGGATTCGAATGACATGCCTTTCCACTTTAAAATTGACATTAAATGTCCTAATCTGATCATTTTTTACAGCGTTATGCATACTTTTCCAAGAGAGGTCAAACTGACCAAGGAGGATTAAATTTTTAAGTGCAGTATTGTTTGCATAAGCACATGTTGCAACGTGGGTTAACTATGGATGATTACATGTACATCTTTTCCTCTTTAACCACTTGGTGCCGGATGCTTTGAAAAATGCAGTGCACACATACCTGTCAATTTCAAGATTTTCAGTTTTCAAAATTCGTTAAAAATTCATCATTTCATTTAATGGACGTTTACACCCACGTGAATTACTGTCTGGTGGCCCCTCTAGTCTGACAGACAAAATCTTTTGATGCCAGAGTATTTCAAGCAGGCCTACAGCCTTGTGAAAAAAGCCCAGATTGTGCGGTGTTATGTAAGTTTCTTTTATCAAGATGTATTTTTGCGTTGGGGAGATGTTAATTATATATAACGGGTTTGCCCTTACGTTGGGTAAGGGCAAACCCGTTATATATAATTAAGTTTCTTTTGTTCTCGAAATCGGCACAGTGCACTGCTGGCGTCTTTTCAATACGGGCCAGATTAGCGTGCAGCGGTGCTGTATCGCTCACTGCTGGAGCCCTGGAGAGCTTTTGTCCCCGGTGGTAATCTGCTTGCGCTGAATGCCACAAACAGTGGTGTAATCTTTCAAAACAAGGACAGATTTCCTTGGATATTGACAACTGAACAAATGTTGACAATCCCCAGCAGCTCAGTCTTTTGTGCCAAGCACGGTCTTTTGTTACAAGGCCCAGCTCTTTTGTCCGGTTTTGGGCTCCCCGGGTTCGTGTTTAAAGCCTAGGTGCTCGACCACGGGTCCCCCGGCAGCAAGTGGTTAACATGCTCTCCCTCTTTCTCAACAGCCCTATGTACTGATGACATATCAAAGTGTTCACCGTTGTACATTGATAGGATAGAATGGGCGTCATCAGTGTACACATTGCTAAGCATATGAGAATGATTATCTCTGCTTCAAAAAGGTAGTTGTTTATTGTAACCATCATTTGAATTTTCCAGGGAAATTTTCCTCCAAAATTGGAAAGGGAAAGATTACGCATTGCACTTTGTTGTGATCCAATGTAACTTGAACATTGTGCTATTTCTCCAACATGTACATGTACTTGTTGCATAGGAAAACTTTTGTTGCCTACTTTAGTCATATTTTTCAGCCCAACTCCAACCAGAGTATCTGTGTTGCCTGTTGCATGCAATTTTTAAGTGAGGACTCAAAGAAAACTGCATTTTATTTGACTTCCAGTGAGAGCCACCTAAAAGGTGAAAAATGGAAGGAAATGAATATACTTCAATAAAAAGGAACAAATTTCAGTGTCATTTAAACCAAGTTTTTCGTTGGAATTGGAATTACAGGCCCAATTCCTCAAGCAGAAACATCTATGAAGCAGGCCACCACATGCATAAGGTTGGAGCCAGAAATAGGTGCATCTTCCACTGAAAATCCCGACCAAATGATGGCTATGACAAACATTCTGCAATGACCCTATTGTGTTTCTTATAGCTGTGCTGTACTGTGCTTACTTGGAGCATTACTGGAGTACTGTTGGCTGTGTTGACCTTTGACATGACCCCCAAGCTGACTGATGGTGAAAGGTCCAGTTCTGGAGCAAGCAAAGCATGGCCCACCATGATTACTGGCTGACCTGTGGTCAAATAGTATTGAGGGATACTGTTAAACAGATTACACTTTAAAATCAAAACTTTTTACCAATGATTACTGAATAGTAAGTAGGGTAAATAGAGAAAACTATTCAGATTAGCATCTGAAGCAGATTGGCAGTCAGTTATCTGATGTCACTTTAACTGCAGTGCAATTTCAACCACATTTATGAACTTAGTGGTTGTAGATGAATGTGCATGTGTCCGTGTGACTAGCTCACCTGAAACCATGGAACTGGACAACTACATTATCCTTTTAAGTTATATTGTGCCCATCACATGTGTAATGTAGTCAGCAATGCATGCTCAGTACTCTCCACAAGTGTCCTGCTTAATAGTGCAGATGTCTCATCAAAGGCATGTTTTTTTAAAAACTACCATAAAACCTGTGATATTTTATGGGGCCAAAAATGAAATTCCCAATTACAGTCAAAAAGTAGCTTGAATTAGGAATGTCACAGATGTGACTACTGTCTTGGTGCTAGGTTTTGCCCCCCAGCCCTCCATGGTCCAATCAACACAAAGGTATTTGATACGTGGTCATTTCTCAGAAAAGTTTTTACAAAAAAACAAAATTTTTGGTAATTATTCTCAGTGGCCCATTGTGTGAAACTGA